CAATTTCAATTCTCTGTGTGTATGTGCTGTACATGTGGAAGAATTGACAATAAAGCAGACTTGACTTGACTTGACTTGACTGTTGCCCCGTAACAGAGACGTTGTCTTTGTACAGACATTGCAAACGCTGAGGAAAAATGTAGGTACGGTTGTGGAGTTACTGATGCTATGAAGTGTTAGTGCACCTGTCCCTCTTATCTTCTTTATTACTGCAGAATTTATAATTACACACAAGCTCAGGGAAAGGTGATTGTATCTTTAACAAACAACACTCATAATAGAAACATAATTATAATGGGTTTGCGTGCATCATAGTATGAGAACATATACACAGAAAAAAGGCACCATTACAAGGGTAAATATCTTTGAATAATCATAATGTTTATATAGTCATAATGCATCGGAAAAATTGCATTTGTTGTTGTTGTTGCTATTTATAAGCCTGAGGGATGAAACAAAGCGAGTTAAACTCAACAAGAAAAAGAGGAGAACAAAGACTTAAGCCAGTTTTGCTTGTGGATGAAAAAAAATGTGCACATAAAAAAAAAATCAACATATTCAAAAAACAACAATTTGGGGTTTTCATAATAAAATATAATATCTTTAAGGATAAAACTGTGTGTCATATTAGTTGAGCAAAAATGTAAAAACTCAAATCAACCCAAAATGTATTGGTTATACTACAATCACAATAAAAGGGCAGCTGTTTCTTCAACAAGACCACAACATGAGCAGATTTCATCAACATCAAAACATTTACAGATAGCTAGATGAATTAAATAAAGTTGTTTCGCTTGTTATTACGTCGTAGATCATATGATAACATCAACATGGCGATTATGTCCAGATCGCATTCATACTCAACAAGATTTGGCTGTAGAGTACTACTCTTTTAGCGCTCCTTAAGTAACTACTTGCGGTTTCGAACGCAATTGCTCCGCGAGGAGTGAGGAGGCTTCCAGAGGAGTCATGAGCGAGTATCCTGTAGCCTATACACTGTATCCTTTGCGGAAGTGTTTTTCATAGAAAAACCTGACGCACGTATACATTTTCCTCCCCCTTCACATCTGTTGCAGTTTAAATAAACCACACGTCATGTATTTCAAACAGGGCATCTTGCTTTATTAATATTTATTATGAATGTCTTAAATAACAAACTTTAACAACATAAGGGCAGATCTCTTTAGCGCAGCTGATAACGCTTTGAAGTGATGCTAAAGGGAGCGAGGATATCCCAGCTAACAAAAAAAGGTCCCCAGGACGTCCCCTAAATGGCCTCTGCGAACGTCCCCTGGACGTCAGCGTGTCGGGTCCCCTTGACGTCTAGCGGACGTTCAAGGGGACGTTCACAAGACGTGCAGCGGCCATTCGGGACGTTTAGGGGACTTTCGCTTTAAGTCCTCTGAATGTCATTTTATTTTACTTTTAGGCTACACTGTAAAACCCGATAAGTTCAGAATACTCAATTTTTGTGGACACCGATTACCTCAAAAAATTTAATTAAGCAACTCAAATTTTTTAAGTTAACATTAATTATAAATAACAATTAAGTCAAACTAAAAAGCTTAAAGGGTCATGGTCAGGGAAGTGGTTGGGGAAGTGGCTGGGGAAGTAGTCAAGGAAGTGGTCAAGGTCAGGAAAGTGGTTGGGCAAGTGGTCATGGTCAGGGAAGTAGTCAAGGTCAGGAAAGTGGTTGGGCAAGTGGTCATGGTCAAGGAAGTGGTCAAGGTCAGGAAAGTGGTTGGGCAAGTGGTCATGGTCAGGGAAGTGGTTGGGGAAGTGGCTGGGGAAGTAGTCAAGGTCAGGGAAGTGGCTGGGGAAGTAGTCAAGGTCAAGGAAGTGGTCAGGAAAGTGGTCCTGGTTGGGGAAGTGGCTGGGGAAGTAGTCAGGGAAGTGGTCCAATTCAGTGCTTTATTCATATGGCATGTTTTCCATGTTTGCTCAAACAGTTAAGAGATTTCTGTCTTTCTCTTGGCCCCTCCCCCCCACCCCCAAAAAAAATTAAAAGAATTGCGATTTGAGGAGTTGATGGAGGTGTGTGTGTGTGGTTTTTGTTTATTGCAAATGATTTATTCTGAAGCCATGTTTTCTATTAGCTGTGCCTTTTTTTTTTTTTTTTTATTCATGGGCTAATGAAACTTTGCTCAACCGATCCGTTCAGAACACTGAATCAATCAGCACTGAATCGGTTGATTGCTGTGAGGTGCGCTATGTTCTGCCTAAAATGTACATTTTTTTTTTCGCTTTTTTGCCGCAGCTGTTTTCCGCACCCTTTGCAAAAGTTTATACTCGTCTTCTCATGGAGGTTCTCCAGATGGTCAAGAGTGACCGATGCATCTGCCTCATGAGCTGCAGTCAGTTTCTCTGTACACGTCATCCACTTTTAAGAAGTACAATTTTAAAGTTGTACTTTTTGAACTTTTACTAGTAAGCCTACACAGTATAATGTTTCAGGAATTACAAACGCTAGTGTAAATTACGAGTCAATGCTGTGATTGACAGTAATAAAGCAACGGATGGAACAAAACATCTGACGAGCCGATGTAAATAAAAAAAAAAATGGAGCTGTGCATTAAATGATTTAGAATAAATTCAGAGTAACAAAACTACTGCAGCAGCAAGTCTGTTGACTGAATATATTTAGCAGCTTCTACAGTTAAAGAAAAAATGTAGTTTTTAAATTAAATCTACAAAATACTTATTTTAATTGTACAATTAGCAATCACAAACTTCTGTAGTAGGATTAAGAGAATTCTATCAAATCAAAATCCATACACTCACAATTTCTCCCACAAGATTTCAAAGACTTCCAAACAAAGTCTTAGAGAAAGGAGTACTTGACAACAAATTGAAATGGTGTTCAGCAGCAAACTTCATACAGGATTGAAATGGTGTTCAGCAGCAAGTGTCATAATGGATTCACTAACAAGAGACACATCTCCAAGTTATCAAATCAATTAACACCATTGTCTCAAATAAGCAAAAAAAAAAACAACAGATGAGCCCCCAATTGTTACATAACTACCCATCTAGGGCTGGGGAGCCAGTAAAAAAATAAGAAAATATCTAAAGGAAAAAAAAAAACTCTTGGAGAACCAGGGCAATCCAACCTCCCGTCCCAGAGTCTACACAAACACCAGTTCGAATTAATATCTTTTTTAATTTGAAAAGATAAACCGAAACCGTAATCTCAAAGGAAGTGTTAACAAACATATAGGGAACAAAGACTTCAGGGACCCGTTCTTCATAACTCGCTTAATAAATCTGAGATGATTTGAAAGATGCCAGATCTTCTAATCGTTATAACTGATCTCTGGCTAATTTGGTCCTTCAAACGAATTTGCGTATTTGGTTAAAATATCTGGATTAAGTTATCTAAGATTACTGCGTGTTCTCTGGACAATTTTCAATCTGGTTTCCGACCGCATCACAGCACAGAGACAGCACTCATTAAGATATTAAAATTATATTCGCTTACATTCTGATTCTGATTCTGACTAGTCCTCAGGTCCTTTACACTGGCTTCCAGTTATATTTAAGATTGATTTTAAAGTACTTTTACTCATTTATAAATCACTCAATGGCCTAGGACCTAAATACATAGCAGATATGTTCACTGAATATAAACCTAACAGACCACTCAGATCATTAGGATAGAGTCAGTTAGAAATACCAAGGGTTCACACAAAACAAGGGGAATCCGCTTTTAGCTATTTTGCCGCCCGCAGTTGGAACCAGCTTCCAGAAGAGATCAGATGTGATAAAACATTAGCCACATTTAAATCTAGACTCAAAACTCATCTGTTTAGCTGTGAATTTATTGAATGAGCACTGTGCGATGTCTGAACTGATTGCACTGTATTTTATGTATAATCATTTTCTATTTTTAACTGTCTTAAATTCATTTTAAATAAATGTTTTAATCATTTTCAAAGTTTTTAAATTCCTTTTTTTATTTTTTTATGATTATTTTACTTTCTTTTATGTAAAGCACTTTACCATTGTGTACGAAATGTGCTATATAAATAAACTTGCCTTGCCTTGCCTGTTGTCTTCACATTTCATCAGTAAAAACGTTTCTGCTTGTTATTCAGCTCAGCTACAGCAATAGCTGCATGCTTTTGTCCATATTAGGGATTTTCTGAGAGTCTTCTATGAGTCTGTTTTGGACTTTCTGTGCGAGAGAGCCCTCTGGCTTCCAGTATGAATGAAACAGACACTGCATGAGAGAGTTCAGTGCTCCTGATATTCACATCTCCTCATTTTGGATACGAATAAAACGTCAGGTCATGCAAAGACTATCGATACTGTCTCTTTGAATTTAAATCTAGAAACCTCTACATGAACAAACCTGCCCGAATAAAGTGCGGGGGACGAATTTACATTTTCTTAAAATTAAATATTTATTACATATTAAAAATGAAGCTAACGTAGTTCTACACACAGCAATTTCTTGCTATTTGATTGGGAAAGGTTTAAAGGGCGTCTAGGGGTCTTGTCTTTTTATGTTATCTGACCAAAAACTATTCATTCTTTGAACTATTATTATTACAGTATTTATTTAAAAACCGTAGGGTGCCTTAAAAAATAATTATCACAACACTGGTAATACAGGCTCATCCTCCGAATTATACTTATCAGTCCTGTTTTTATTATCATTATCATTCAAAAAATGAATAAATTCAGAACAGTATTAGAATAGAATTCTATTTTAAATAAGACAGAAATATTTTTTTCTACAACAGCAACAGTAGTGTTTACAACAGCAAAACCACCATACCCTGTAAGCCCAATAATAATAATAGTAATATCAATAATATAATTCAGTTTCTAATTCCAGAGTAAGAAATTATGTTTCATGTGTTCCATGTTTCAGAGTAAAAAATTCTTTACCTTTTAAACTTAAAATGGTCTTTCCTGTTCTGTGTTTCTTTTTCAAAACTATGTCACAATTTGCTGCTGTATCACTACAGAAGCATCCGTTTCGATACACGTATCAGCATGGAGCACAGCCCTAAAGCCATGTTCTATGCACCCCTTTTATACTTTGAGCACCTGCCCCTCCAAAGGTTTCTGCACAGCCCTGCAAATCTGCGGTTCTTCCTAAGACATTGAGGGCATTTCTGATGATTCTACACGATTACTATGTAAGACATTTAATACACTACCTCTTCATATGGTTTAAAGAATTCTCTCCTATAACTTGTTACAGTCTGTAGAGAAAATATTGAGGCGTTTTATGCCTCAGTTCTTCTCCGTTTTGATTTGTGAAATACAATATAAGATCTTAATGGCCTAAACTATCTGGTATTATACTTTTAGTTTAATAGTATGTTGTCAAATTTAGTTTTCAATATTCATCTCATACTGCATTTTAATATTCTTTTTTCTGTTGTCAGAGTTCTCATTCCTATGCTTATTGTTGACTGGTTAAATTTCCGTAAAACAAGATTTCTATTTTGCTTACTTAGGTCTATTTAACTTTTTTTCATTTGTTGTTTTTTTTCTTCTATTTTATGTCTTTATCTGCTGTTTCTTTAAATGCTAGAGGGCTAAGAAATCTTACTAAATGACAAGCTATATTTTTATATCTTAATCAATTCAGCTGTGGTTTTTGTTTTCTGCAAGAAAGTCATTCATCTGTAGAGGACCTAAATTTTTGGAGGTCACAGTGGGGCCTGGACTTATGGATGTCTCATGGCACGACACATTCAGCTTAAAGGAAAGATCTTACTCCATGCAAGTGATTTAGGTGGCCGTTATGTCTGCCTTGTTATTGATTTTTTAAATTTGACATGTATTCTTTTTTTGTGTTTATGGTTATAACCAGCAAAAAGAAAATGAAGCCTTTATTAGCCGTTTAGACGAGCAAGTGTTAAAACTACTGACTAAATACCCAAAATCCATGCTTATTGGAGACTTTAATGTGGCTTTAGACAGCAGTATGGATAGATGGCCTCCAAAACCCCAAGACAATTCTTGTCTATATATGAAAATGTTTATGCAAAGATTCTCTTTAATCGATAGTTGGAGGGAGTCCCATCCTTTTCAAAAGAGGTTCACATGGTGCAACAACTCTCTCTCCTCCCAGTCTCGAATTGTTTTGTGGCTGATTTCTAAGGAATTATGCAATATTTCTACTGATATTTTGCCATCACCATTATCTGACAATAAGAGCATTTTTATTCGCACTCACCTTCTAGCTTCTGATAATGTGCATGCGTTTTCCTCTTACTGAAAACGTAACAACTTGGTTCTCTTTTATAATGAGGTAAAAGATATAATCATTAAGATCATTAAAAAAACTGGAATAAAGCTAGAGAGGAGAACAGCTACAGTAGCTACTGGGAGTTTACTAAGTATGAAATTTGCAAATATATTAGAAAATTTTGTAGTGATTTGGCAATAAAGAAAAAAAAGATTAAAATATTGTTATATGTAAACTCACAAATCTCTTATCTCTGTGAAAAAAAAACAGAATTGGCAGATTTACAACACAAATTAGATACCATATATAAACATTAAGCTGAAGGAGCATTTATTAGATCGCGTAGGAAATGGATTGAGGAGGGTGAACAAAATTCTGCATATTTTTTCATACTAGAAAGAGAACAAGCTAAAAACTAGATTGAAAAGTGTGTAGACAAACTTTAAGTTGGCTTGAAAAAGCCTAACTATAAAGTTTGGAAAAGTTTTAAAAGCTTGCAGTCTGAAAGTTTTCAGTTTGAAGTAGTTTGCAAGTTATTAAAATAGTTTTAAAGATTAAAGTTTGAATGTTTCAAGGCAATACAGTCTATCAGAAAAACAGATAGGTATAATCTGTTGTCAGAGTTCTCATTCCTATGCTTATTGTTGACTGGTTAAATTTCCGTAAAACAAGATTTCTATTTTGCTTACTTAGGTCTATTTAACTTTTTTTCATTTGTTGTTTTTTTTCTTCTATTTTATGTCTTTATCTGCTGTTTCTTTAAATGCTAGA